TCATGATTACTTAGACAGGTTTATCGTCCTGTACCTCAACGATATACTTTAGTAAGACTATAGAGGAGCACACGATGAGCACCTGAAAATAGTGCTAGGTCTGTCTCTTATACACATCTAGATGTGTATAAGAGACAGCTATAGAGGAGCACACGATGAGCACCTGAAAATAGTGCTAGGTCTACAAAGACAGCATTAGTAAAAGGTAAACTTGGAGAAATGCAAGTTCGGTTGCACCAAGATCTTGTAGTTGGGTCATGAAATCTCTGCGGGTGTTGAGGCCGAATGGTGCTAACGTGGCCAGCATACGAGACTGGCCCAAACCTCAGACTCTTACTGAGGTCCGATCATTTTTGGGGATGATGGGCTATTACCATCTGTTTGTTAAGAACTTCCCCATTAACTGACCTAACACACCTTGACACCCCTTGGGAGTGGACCGAAGAGTGTGAAGCAAGCTTCAAGAAATTGAAGCATGTTTTGACACACTACGAAGTCCTCAAACTTCCAGACCCTTATCAGCCATTTGTAGTGACCACATACGCCAGCCAATATGGCATAGGCGCGGTCCTGGTACAAAGGGGAGGGAAAATGTCGAGGCCAATCGAGTGCATGAGCAAAAAGATGCCATCCCAAAAGCTAGCTAAGTCCATGTATAAGCGTGAGCTTTATGCCCTCTACAGAGCGCTGGTCCACCGGAGACACTATCTCCTAGGCAGATTCTTCTACTTGAGGTCTGACCATGAGACTGTGCGCTGGATTAAGACACAGCCTGTACTCTCTGACGCACTTAAACGGTGGATTCAAGTGATAGACATGCATGACTATCAACTTGATCCAATCAAGGTCGAGTACAACAAAGTGGCCGATGCACTATCACAAATGGCAGATTATCTGGGCGCGCTAGTAAATGAGTTTGGCATATTTGACGATGTAACTCGATCCTTGGTGGAGGCCTATCAGCAAGATCCAGTTATGTCTGAGATCGTTCGTAAATTTCAATGGTACTTGGGTTGTTTCTTGAGAAGGCAGGAAATAAAAGATTGTGTGTTCCAAACAGAGAGTCTTTACGTAGTTTATTTTTTGGGGAATGTCATGATACTACTGGTCATTTGGGCTATAAAAAGACATCAGCTAACCTAGTGCAAAGATTCTGGTGGCCCACTATGATGCAAGATGCAAAAAGGTACGTTGAAACCTGCCAGGTTTGCAAACGAGACAAACCTAGGACTCGGGCTCCGCTAGGTCTAATCAAGCTCTTGCCGATTCCTGAAGGTCCTGGTCAAAGTGTGTCCATGGACTTCATGGATACTCTTGTAACCAGCAGGAGTGGAAAGAGACACATCTTTGTTATAGTTGACCGCTTCTCCAAGTATGCCAGACTAATAGCTATGCCAAAGACCGCTAAAACTCACTACGTCATAAGGTTGTTTATGGAAAACTGGGTACGGGACTTTGGTTTACCTAAGTCCATTGTCAGTGATAGGGATGTTCGCCTTACTACCGAACTGTGGCAAAACACTGCCCAACAGATGGGTACCAGACTGCAAATGACATCAAGGAATCACCGAGTCAAATGGACGGTTGGAAAAAATGAACCGAGTAGTGCAGCACCTGCCTAGGCACTACAACAAGCCAAGTCAGGATGACTGGGACGAGAAACTACCTCTCGTCGCCAGCCTGTACAACAACACTGTACACAACGCTACTGGCACGACTCCCAACCAATTGCATCTTTTGGTTGGAAGCCCCGTTCCACCCTTGATTTCTTACTGCCTGAGAACCAGGCAGAATAGAATTTGCTGTCAAATATGAACAGATGCTGCAGCAGACCGTTGAACACATTACGAACTCTCAAGCTGCTATGATTGCATATGAGAACAAACACAGACGGCCTTCTAACTTTCAGCTAGGAGACAGGATCTAGGTAAAGTCATCTGCACTGCGACAGGAAATGGGAATCTCAAGAAAACTAATGCCACAGTATTTCGGTCCCTGGGAGATCCTAGACATAGTAAGGGATCAGATGGATGGACCTTCCTATGTGATACACATCCCACCTCACCTCCGTGCACATACAGTTTTTCATGCCTCAAAGCGGGCACCTTTCGCGGAGACTGCACAGTTTCCCTCCAGACGGTCAATGCTGCCCCTAACCATGGATGGTGAAGTCGACATCGACGGAACTGTGGACCATTGAATGATGCCAGTGCCTAAGCCGCCGGGCAGAGCCGCCCTCCTAAGCCGAGAATGCAATACCGTGTCAGTTTCAGACATCATCTGGATCCCAGCAAAGATCGGTTGTTCACCAGAGAAGAACTCGTGCAAACAGCACCTCAAGTTATTGCAGGCTATGGAAGAGAACTCAAGGGGAAGATGCCTTCAGAATAGAAGACTTCTCAGAGGACTGTCGAAGTACAGGAGGAGGGAATGCGAGGATCTGGTTCCTCGGCAGGCTTAAGGGGCCCTGCTACAGAAGTGCCCGCCCTAAGTGAAGGCGGGCCTAACAAATCGTGAAAGGCCCTCTGCTGTCAATTCCGTATTTGGGGTACAGGCAGTTGTGACGCGCCAGTTTGTTGAGGGAAAACACAGGCCGAGCGGCGAAGATATTCCACAGCCTACCAGACCTTTCGGGAAATGCCGGCACTGGGGGAGAATCGCAGCCTCATACACAGACAGTTGGGAGGCCCAACCGAACGAAGACCCACAACTGTATCGGAGGCACAGCCTCCTGGGGCACACAGGCCGAGCAGCAAAGATATTCCATGGCCTACCAGACCTTTCGGGAAATGCAGGCCCTGGGGTAGAATCGCAGCCTCATACACTGACACTTGGGAGGCCCTACTGAACGGAGACCCAACAGCTGTATCGGAGGCACAGCCTCCTGCCCAGGTAGCTTCTAGGCAGAGGCCCAGGCCAGCCAGGCCGCCAATCGAGGCAGACTTTTTCCATATAGGAAAAAGCTCGCTGCCTGGGAGGATGACGGCACTTACATGCTAGCGGACGCTCGTGGGCTGCTGCTGGCGGTGAGAGGCAAAGGTGCAAGCACATGCGGTCGTGTGTGATTCAGGGCGCTGCTGAGGGCAGCGCCATAGCCCAGCCTTCAGAGCTGGCTCGGGTTTGGTCTACAGTGAGGCGCAAAGGTGGTCTTCGGGTGTACAGAGGGAAGACGTGGGAGTAGGAGAGAGAGAAGGATGATGATCATGACGATGTGAGGGCGCATACCTGGTATTGGCGATGGTCTGCATCTGGGTGACATCTTCAAGTACTTCGTTGGCTGCTGACATCAACAGTTGAATTGTCAATTAGTAGGCAGATCATAGCTGTGTACGGAGTAGGCTGAGTGCAACTGTATTTCAATATACTGTTTATGCTTCCAAAATACAAAGTTGGACGAATCTGGAAACTTTAGTAGGGAGAAGGTCCTGGACTCGTGTTGGTGGTGGCGAGAGCAAGCTCGCATTGACATTGGTTTTCAGTGTTACGATTCTCCATTGGTGTCATATTGGTGCAATGCTGCTTTCTAGACATTGGGATACTTTCTGGCTATCAATGTGATTGTGTATTCTGGATATTGTCATCTCGCTTCTGCTCATTTTCCTTGCACTTGTGGTGATGCTGCGAAAACCCCCAAATTTTGGGCCTTCCATTAACCATCTCACAGCAAGAGCGGTGAAATATGCTAATGTGTTTTGGTTTCGTCAGTGTCAATGGAGTTCCTTGCTATTGCCCATTGCACCTTTCCGAGTGTGAAAAAGTGCCTTAAAAACTTGAGGAATTGCCTATCTGGGCCTTTAGAAGACCCCCGGCTGGCACTGACGCCCATTTGCCAAAGTGGCCCATCAACGCATCTGCAGACTCAGCACGCCATTCTAAGAGACGGCTGTCACAACAGATACAGCACTGCCTTTCAAAAGTTATCGAGGCTAGTGGTACAATCACAGAGTCTGACTGCGACTAGTCAAAAGTTTGGCTGAATACGCCCACCTCATTCAATATGCCCTCTCCTCGGGCTTCGAGGCCCCTTCCCCTCCTAACGCTCTAGCTCACAAGTCGCCTATCACAGTCTTCTCGTTGCAAATCCAACACATTCCTGGAGAAAGGACCTTTGCTTACGTTTCAAGACCTCAGTGCTGTTATCCTTCAATACCCCCTTGAGGTCTTGACCCAGTTCCTGATTGTCCTCGAGGCAAACAACAGGTGGAAATTTATGTTCATTATTGGGTGCACTTCAGATGAAAGGAAAAAATCGTTGTTTAACTGCTGGTACACCACTTATTTGTTCATTGACTAAGATCTACAGACTCTCGAAAAACTAGTTTCTTCTTTTTTACCACATTGCCTACTTGATTACCTTTAATTCTTTTTTGTACTTTCAATCATTGATAGTTCTTGCTTTCGACTCTATGGTGTCTCTTTGACTCTCCATGGTGTTAATTGCAAGACTTGTCGGTATGATATCAACTCCTCTTTTATTTTTTTAATTTGGACCATTTCTCGATTTGTGTGTGTCATCCTTGGGCAGGGGCCATGCTCATCTTCTCTGTATCGTTCCAATTTTGACGGATGTCCTGAAGGACTGTGATATCGACTCCTAATCGACCTGTCCTCTAAATTATGAGCACAACATACTCTCTGCAAAATGGAGCAGAGCGAAGAAATCAACCTGCATGCAACACACCCAGCACATGCATCTGAGTGGCATACAACTGTGGCTGAACAGGTCATATAGTTGAATTACTAACACAATCAGACCGACGAAATCATGTTGAAGGCAACCCTTTTTCAGATGGTACACAAATGTTGCTGGACAGGTCACGTAGTCCAAATCCTAACAGAATCAGACCGGCGCAATAATGACAGAGGCTACCTTTTTTGTCTGCTGCCGGAAAATTACGAGTAAGAATGGAGCAATGACAAACAGGAAGAAGGAAACAAATTCAGAGAACGGAAGAAAGAGACCGATCGACAAACGAGAGGACAGACAAGAACTTTCTTACCTTCTCTGTTGGTGGAAGGTAAAGGCAGCTGAGCTCTGACGGTGTCTCTGTGGTTTCCTGGCTAGGCACTGCTACGAGTGGAGCAGTCTCAACCGTAGGAAGAGGCTAGAGAGAAGCAAAAACACACAACCAAGGCATCAAAGAGAAAGTTAGAATGGGCCATCACTCAAGGCAGACCTCAGCACTGAACAAGAAACTACGATGTCAGATTTGCCCCTCACTGGGCTCCAAATGCCCCAATCTCTAGAAACGCAGCTTTAATCCACGCTTAGTTCGTGTTACCAGTTGCATGTCTGCATTGGAGGCAAGGTTCAACACCAAATATGACAGAGGGAACCATCACTCAAGGCAGACCACAGCATTAAGCAAGAAATTCCACCTAAGATCAAAGATTTTGTCCCTCACTGGACTCCAAATGCCTCAATCTCTGCACATACAGCTTCAATCCACGAATGGTGCGCAGTATGAGTAGCATATGTCTGCACTTGAGCCAAGGTTCAATGCCAGATATGAAAGGGGGAAGGCCAATGTGAAAACACAGACGCGCCATTTAGAAGAGGGTGATGATGGTAGGCGTGGTAGACAAAATATGAGTAACTCCTGTCCAAGTCAGGCTCCTGAGAACAGTCTAAGAGTCTCTGTACATACAAGCAGACCTGGCGGGGGGACGCCGCACCCCAGGTCCAATCCTAGCTACACAGGGCGGCCACATGTGGAACAGGCCATATTGTGTGGAGCGGATGGTGTCAACACCCTTTCTCACAGGCCACTTTGTCCTCCTGTGCTCAATTTGTCCCCGCGCCTCCCCTGCCGCTCCCTTCTCCTCCCCCCGGGCCGGTATAATGTGACTCGACTGAGGTCTTGTCGCGGCCAGGTAGCATCAACCACTCCTTAAGTGTTGAAATGCAGACTGGAGTCTGAAACCCCACCGAGGTAGATGAGCAAAACACTACAATCCTTTTTAATTCCTTTACAACCAACCGGCAGCAGCCTTGAGTTATCATTGTCAAACTGACCGGCCCCAGGGAGTTCAGAATTGTAGTATACTCCTGTGTTAGTCCCCGGGCATCCCGGCTGGGGGACAGCCGCACGGGTACCCTGCCGCGTACCCTCCCGGGCCACACCGACCGGGCAGGGCCGGGCCAGGGTCCCGGGCAATCCCAGCGCATAATATTTAAAAAAAAACATAAAATAAAACTAGAAGGCCCATTGCGGCTTCGCCCGCAAAAACAGACAAAGAAAACGCACGAAAGAAAGAAAAAGCATAACGGTCGATTTGTTATCATCTCTCTCTCTCTCTCTCTCTCTCTCTCTCTCTCTCTCTCTCTCTCTCTCTCTCTCCACCTCGCCTGAACTCTTCCCTTGCTCCGTACCCCACCCAACCTCTGCCCTCCCTCCGCCCAACTTCATCCTGCCGTCTTTCCCCTTCCTTCCCACCTCCTTCCACCTCCTCCTCTTCCTCTTCACACTTTTTCCCATGCTCGTTTCCCCCTTGCCTCTTCGCTTCCTCCACACGTCACTCAACCTCTAAACACTTTCTGTCCTCCCTCCGCCTTACTTCTCCCTGCCGCCTCCCTTTCCTCCCGGCCTCCTCTGGACCTTCCCTTAAAACCTCCCTCTTCCCTCCCTTCGTCTGGCCACCTCACTCCCCTTCCTTCGCCCAATCTCCGCCTGACCTCCTTCCCTCTATCTCCTCCGTCCTCCTCCTTCCTCCGCCCAACCTCCTTCCCTCTATCTCCTCCGTCCTCCTCCTTCCTCCGCCCAACCTCCTTCCCTCTATCTCCTCCGTTCTCCTCCTTCCTCCGCCCCATTCGCACTGACCTCCTCCTTCCCCCAATCTCCTTCCCCCCCTTCCTTCCTTGGCCCAATCTCCACCTGACCTCCCGCTTCCGCCCTACTCTCTGCCGCCTTGCCCATGCCTACTGGCCTCCTTCGCACCTTCTCTTCAACCTCCCTATGGCTTCCGTCTGCCTGGCCGCCTCATTCCCCTTTGTTCCCCCGATCTCTGTTTGACCTCCTCCTTCCCCCGATCTCCTTCCTCCCCTTCCTTCCTCAGCCCGGTCACCACCTGAACTCCTTCCATTCCTCCCTCCGTCCTACTCCCTACCTTCCCCTTCCTCCCTCCACAGGCCGCCCTTCGTAACGCCCGACCTAACAAGTGCTTCTTTTTCTTTACACGGTGGACGTAAACGGTCCATTTGTTATCAAGATCGATCCATTTCTTTTAAGATCTCAACACGGTTGCACACACGCAAGAAGGAGAGAGGGAAAGCAGGAGAGTGAAAAAATGCATTTCACCTAACAGACTTCCTCCTCGCTCTCTACCTTCCTCGCACCTTCTTTGCCTTTGTCTGTCTCCTCCACCGCCAAACTTACGTCTTCTGCCTCCTCAACATTCTCCCTCGGTCTTTTCTCTTTGGAGCGGCCTTCTGAATAACTGCCCTGCGCCAGCTATTTCAGGCTATCGATATTTCTTTCCATATTTCACTCTCTTCCTCCCCAGTCCCACCACACTGAGTCAGCTCTCTCTCTCTCTCTCTCTCTCTCTCTCTCTCTCTCTCATCGACGCCTCCCTGTGTGCATCTGTGTGCGCCCGCACGTCCCTTATCGCAAATTGAGAAAGATAAGAAAAACGGAATACACTCTCTATATCATCCCCATATAAGGGAGCAAGAAGAGAGGGAGGACGGAGGGCCGAGGAAGGTAACGCCACCGGAGGAAGGAGGGAGAAAGCAAGTGAGGGAAGAAGGAGAAAGGGAGAATGGAGGGAGGGCCGATGGGGCAGGAGTGAGGGAGGGAGGAGAGAGGGTCAAGGCAGGAATGGAGGATGGGCCGAGGGAGGAGGGATGGTGATGGTGCCTCTGCTGCCTCTCTCTGTGTGTGTGTGTGTGTGTGTGTGTGTGTGTGTGTGTGTGTGTGTGTGTGTGTGTGTGTGGAATGGAGGCCGGTGTCGGAGGGCCCGACATTCAGGCCCTCCACGGTGTATCAATTTCCCACACCGGTTTGATGGTCTGTGGGAGCAGCCGGTCTAACCGAAGAGGATTGATCATACTTTCAGTCTGAATGATCATCCTTAAATGTCCCAGGTCTAATTCCTTCTTTGTATTTTAATTATTGTTCATTATTGTTATTCAAACTTGACCGCAATTTGAGGTATGGTTGTCAGAGGGTTCGACGGTGTGAACCACTCGGAGTGGGATTCGTGAAACGTGCCACTGAATTTTTTTTTTGTGAAGGGTTCGGCCAGTTCTGAATGAAAAATAATAATAATAATAATTAAAAAAAAAAGAAAAAGAAGTGATTCAATAAAGCAACCCTAAGCTGCAGTCGTGCGCATACTGGCCAGACCTGGGCCTGTACTAAGTGACATTCCATTGGGCCTGCATCAGTATGGACGGACCTGTGGTCGAGAAACTGCGTCCGCTGTGGCACTGTCAGGTCTGGAGTCGGCACCGGGAATGGGACTATCGGACTTGGAACCGACGCTAACGGTAGTATTACTGGGCTTGGTGTACTCAGGCGGTACTTTCCCCATTGCGATAGATGTGTGCATTCTTGCTCGCCACTCGGGTGTCTGTTGTTGACAGGCGCAGCAGCCGGCTGTCGGCCTAGGGAGAGGACGAGGTCTTTGACTTGCCCCTCAGTCCTGACGCGTGCTAACATGCCACTTACCAACGGGCCGTGCGGCCGCCTGGCGGTTGTGAAGACGAGGGTTTTGACCCGTTGACCAGGGCTGGCGGGTACTCATTCGGTAGCTAGGCAACCAAGGCGAACAGGGCGAGCTGAAGCGACCAGGGTGATGCAGTGCACGAACTGCGACGACAGTGAACGGGGCTGCGGTATCTCGTGAGGCGGACGCAGCCGATGCAAGCTCGTGAGGCGGACGCAGCCGATGCACGCTCACAGGGGGGGGGCGTGCAAGAGCTCACCGTAATGGGGCACGTTCACGCGTGAGATGCCGTAAGTGAATCAAGGTGGCTTCCTGGTGCAAATTCATGAAGTTAGAAAAGGTCATTGATCTACTTATTCAGTGATTCATCAATTGCGCATGCTTTTCGTTCAGAGAGCTCGAATGGCGGACCTGTTTGCTGTGAGGGAATTAAGTCACATTTAATCTTTGAGGCGTTGCTGTATTGCATCTAACCCTCAAGAAACCAATACATGCGGCAATGAGAGGAGATGAATGCGCTTGGAAAGAGAAAATTATAGTAAGGAGTGACCAGAGCGAGCACTGCATTGACCTCGCCCTGCAGACAGGGAACGTGCTTCGTTTCGGATTCCCCTCCCTAGTGGGCAATCCAAAAAAGCCAGCGGTGCACTGAAAGCAAGAAAATAGCCATGCATGTTACCATGCTCTTGCTGTAGATTTATCTTCGTTCCCCCTGTTGGTGGGGAATCCAGTGGGGCAGCACATGTACGGTGGAGATGAACCTGCCCACTTTTCTCGCTAAAGATTCATTTTGTGTTCCCATTGATCTCATTCTCCGCCTGTGAGAGATCGAACTGCTGCAGGAAATTATTGGTCAGTTGCTCCCCACTATCGAAACGGTATCAGAGTGAGCCTTGTAGCTCCATGTACTTACTGTTTAGGCATCAATGCTCGCCCGAAAGAGTAAATAAATCGAAGTGGCACAGATCGCAGTTAGGATCTGAGGGGTTGATGCCTAACCATGTTAGTGGACTAAATAAACCTGGCTGGTTCTGCGGATCAGATTCATCTTGCAGTGTATGCTCATGGAAGAGGAGACACACGGCACAAAAGCGGCGCAACCATGTGCACTGGCCAAAGGGAGGCTCTGCTGGAACGAAGAGGACAAGATCCAGAAAACGAGAGAGAGAGAGAGGGAGTGTTTTCTAGATCGAAGGCACGGACCGGGCTCTGACCACGCCCAGGTGCAACCCCGTGCGAGACTACAGGCTGACTTGCTCCGCGCGAGTGATGAGTGGGGCTTGTGCGGGTAAGTGTGATCGGACCTTTTACTTGGCACGTAAGCTTCACAACAAGCTGAACATAGCGCCCGGATGGCACAAGAAAAGGGGATGTATCTTTCCCTGTACTGGCTGCCCGTTCATTCTCAACCGGCACGGGCGATTTTGTACTCAGACATTCCTCGCCAGAAGGGATCTGAGGGCATGCTTGGAAACGAGTTGAGTATTGGAAAGGCCGAATGTTGCATACCGTATAGGTGCAGACCAGAACAAGAACCGACCCTTCAATACAAAGAATAAGATAGCACAGCGGAAGACTTAGATACCAATGATCCGAACAATCAATATTGCAATGCAACCCCAAACATACATCATCATCATCATGGTGTGAAGGGGTCTGGCGCTTCACACAAGAAGACTGCGCCAGCCCCAACCATACACAGACGAAGGAGGTGGGGTTAGACGAAGAAGAAGGGAAGATGGGAATGTCGTCAACAGCACAGGCCCAAATAGTCCCTCGTCAACATGTCTGAATCCCAATGTCGAGTCTGGATCAAATGTCGTCAAGTCTCATGTCACAACTCTCTCTCTCTCTGTAGTAGTCCGCTGATACTGAGAAGTCAGGTGGTGAGAGG